TCAATCAGGGAAGCTCACCTGGGCCTTGGTGCTCAGAGCTGCTGCTGGAGCCTGTCACACACTGTCCACATGGCCGTTTTTAGTCTCGGCTCCTCCTGAGGCTAGGCATTCACATGGCACTCACAATGGCAGAAGCCCAAACCCAGCACAGTTCACATCATCAGAGAGTCTGGTGGCCAAGCTCCAGGCAAACACAGCCACTCCCTTCAGGTATCACATTTCAGTGCCTGGAGACCACTGCCCAGCAACTAAAGGCAAAGGCCCGATCTTACTTGGGCAAGACTAATTTTCCACTTCAGTCCCCCTCCTGGTCTCTGCAGAAGGCTCCCTTAAATCAAAGTGAGCACGTTTAGCTGGAAATCTGATTTCATACAGCACTGGCAGGTCCCAGGCAGCAATGGGATCATACAGCACTTGGAAGAGCCAGAGAGGACAGAGAGAGATTTAAAGAAATGGTGACCCCATCCTGTGGTGTTTTTATAATCATTGGTACATCCTGGTATTGCATTGATTACTTATTTCCCCTCAACCTACCAACAATACTTAGGGGTTCACTAAGTCTTCAGTACATATTCTCTTTGCAGTCAAGTTGTAGGGCCATATCACACATCCCCCCACCACCTACACGTGTGGCCTCATATGTGTGCCCTCTCACATGCTCAGTCAAATGCTGATACACACAGGCCTTCCCAGTGTGGTTTTGGGCCCCGGAGCATTAGGCCCCCCTGTCCATTTTTTGGCAACGGAGCCCGATGCCTTTCTTTACGATATTGTGGATAAACACCTGGTCCTTGTTTGTTTTACTGCAGCTGCCCCAATTTGCCCTTGTTCATTAATGTCTCTGGCATCGAAAGCCTGTTTTACTGCAGCTGCCATGACTTGCTCTTGTTCATTAAGGTCTCTGCATAATATAATGTATGTGTTTAAATCTTCATGTTTCCATGGTCTAATGACTTCTCTGCACCAACAATTCATTTGCTCATAAGCCAGTTGTTTTAGTAATGGCATTGCTTGTTCTGTATTCCCAAAAACTCTGGTAGCTGTTTGAATAAGCCTATCTACAAATTCAGCGTAAGGTTCATTAGCTCCTTGTATTACCTTAGATAATTGTCCTTGTAAACCTCCATGTCCTTGTAAAGTCTTCCATGCCTTAATTGCATCTACAGCAATTTGTGCGTATACACCAGGATCATATGCAAGTTGTTGCTGCTGATTCTCACAAGGTCCCTTTCCTAACAACATATCTAGATTTCTCTGAGGATAACCAACTGCTGCATTTTGCCTAGCCGTCTCCTTGCAAAATTCCTCATTGGCAATCTTCCATAACAGGTATTGTCTTCCATTTAGCAGAGCTTCATAGTTGCCTTGCTCCTTCATTCACACTCGAAATGCAGACACTAGCACACTCATAGCTCCACTCCTTTTCTCTCACTCACCCAGTCACCTGTTGTTGCCATCCCTAAACTGGTGCATGTCTCCAAGTTAGTCAATGCCAGATGCGGGTGGTCATGGATGCCCTTTATATAGATCCCCACCCCCAACACTGACATCAGGACAATATTTCACATGCACAGCATTTTAACAGTATTCCAACCTTTGTTATGTGATGTCATGAGAAAGCTGGAGAGTGTGCAGGTGTGATTGAGTGTGATGGGGTGAGGGTGGGAGTGTAGAATACAGATGTCGCAGGGTTAGGGGCGTGTGCAAGGCCTGGGGCTCAGGGTGTGGGACAGAAGGAAGGAAGGAAGAAGGAGGGCAATGGCAGCAGGCCATTGCACAGGGCTAAAGGGTCTGGTGTTTCTAAAATTCCCTGGGTAGCTTGAGTTCACAAGGGACAGAGTTTGCAGTTTAGTAGAGGGAATAATCACCTTTTGTCTATTTTATCAGTCACAGGATTGAAGGACATAATACAGTGACTTTGGGCTAAAGTGGGTGAAGGACAGGGGTGTGTAAAAAATCTTGGACACAATATTCACAAGGGATTTCAGAACTCAGGGAAGGGTTGTGTATGTTTTGTAAGATTGAAAGATTGTTTTGATGGACAGACACCACAAGTTCTCATGGGAATAGAAGAAATACAGAAACCTTCTTTACCTGCAGCAGCAGTCATAGGCCCTGATACTCTGGTACTGGCCCGCTGGCAACTTGTGTGGTACCCAAAAACCACCCAGGTGAAAGCCAGTCAGAGAAGTGGTTTGAATGTGGACACCATTAGCTGATCAAGAAGGGGAAGTGGCCATACTCTCATCAGGAGCTCCAACCTGTGTCCTGTTAGAATTTTTATAAAACCCAAACCTACTGGAGCCTATTGGTGAGGTGGTGATGTCCTGGGAATAGGAGTGCTACAGAGATGGAGAGGTGGAAGGCCGTCATGGCTGGTGTGTGGGAAAGGAAGATGTAAGAGCTGCAAAGGATGGAGTGAGGGACCAGAGGAAAGACACAGATGTGGGGTGGGAAAAGTGACAGGGTGGTGGATGCCACCCAGCGTTTGGGGGCTGAGATATTGAAGGAGGGCCTCCAAGGACATGAGGATTGGGTTGAGGACACTGGAATGAAGGTAGATATGGAGCCATGGGGAAGGAAGAGGAGGAGGTGATGGAAGGATAGGAGTGTGTCTCCTGAGGTCACCAGAAGTGCATGGCCACAGGTGTGGCAAAGGGAGGGAACCAAAGGGTGCCGCAGAGCTGGTGTGGAGGCCTTGAAGCATCAGGTGGAGGTGGGAGGGGATGTTGCAGGTGCAGGCTCTGGAAGGTGGTCTCATTGAGTCTACAGAATGGACAGAACCTAAGGGGGGAAGTGGGGTGCACTTCAGGAGGTCAGGAGGAGGGGGCCATGGGCAGGTCAGAGATCAGTAATCCATTCCTCCTTCCATCAGTGCCCTGTTTCCACTGGGCTTGCAGCTCACTCATGGATCCTCTCCATGTGAAGTCCATGGAGCAAAACAGAATAAAAAGAGGGTCCACTTTAATCTCAGAGAGGCTTACATCTGGGAAGAAAACAGTGCTGCCCACAGGAAAGAAAGTCTTGGTACAGGAGATATAACCCAGGGGTGATTTACTTTTGACCTAAATCTTCCAAGCTTTTTGTTTGAGACCAGATCTCACTAAGTTTACCTTAGGTGCTGAGGCTGGCTTTGACCTTGGGATCCTCCTGCCTCAGTCTCCTGAGTAGCTGGATTACAGGCGTGCACCACCATGCCAGGTGTGTGCCATGGTGCCAGTTAGAATGTGTCCCTTGTGAGAGCAAAGCCTTTGCTTTGCAGATGTCAACCACAGAGTTGCTAAAGTAGAACATTCTGTTCTGTTGACAGATCACAGCCCAATTGGATGAGCCCAAGAGTCTGTCATTTCCCATGAACAGGGTGTCAAGCCAGTAATGCCCTCTCCAAGTGGCCAGGAGGAGAACCATGACAGTGGAAGATGAAACCCCTGTTGTGAACAGTCCTGGTGAGAGGGAGAGCAGCTGGGGAAGGTGGGGTGAGCAGCACCTCCCACATCTGCCTCTTGGTGCAGACCTTCCTCTTTGGAGGGGTTTATAGAAAAATATATTCTTTCCCTCTTCTGGGATCTGATTCCTCCTTATTAGCCCATTCCTTGAAGTTTATTGGCATAATTTTCTTCCTACAAATCCCACGTATTCCCTTCTTTATACCTCTCCACTCCTGTGCTATGAAATTCCACTTCAGGCCCTTCTCCAAGGGAAAACTCTGAATCCTCCTTGACCTCTGACTTCTGCACTTCCTGCCCCGTCGGGCTGCTGCCTGAGGAGGCCTGTCACTCAGTCTGCCTTGTCTCTGAGCCCCTCCTCACTTGGAAGTTTCCAGATGCTTACTTTTCTGTTTTCTTTCTGTTCCCCTCCATTAAACTCTCCTCCAATCTGACAAGGTAAGCGCCTTTCCTCCTGGAGCAGACTCCAAGTACAGATTTCAGCTCTCTGTGGTTTTGATGGTGCCCAAGGTGTTCAGGAGAGGCCAGGCCTGGAGAAGGAATTTTCTACTGATAAAATCTTCCCAAGGGAAAAGGAAAGCTATAAGGAAAAGAAGAGCTTAGGGAAGTTAGATTTTAGGTGAATCCAGGTGTGGTGGCACAGGCCTGTAATCCCAGCTGCTCGGGAGGCTGATGAAGGAGGAACCCACATTGGAGGCCAACCTGAGCAATGTAGTGATACTCTTTCTCAAAATACAAAATAAAAAGGGCTGGGGGGGGCACTGGGATTGTGGCTTAGTGGTAGAGCACTAGCCTGGCATGTGTGAAGCCTGGTTTTGATTCTCAGAGCCGCATATAAGTAAATAAATAAATAAATAAAATAAAAGGTACATTGACAACTAAAAACATTTTTTTTAATAGTGCTGGTTATGTAGCTCAGTGGTAGAGCACCCCTGGGTTCCATCCCCAGGACCAGAAAAGGAAAGAAAGATCAGTTGAGAACTGAGTGAGGTGGGCTGAGAGAGCACAAGAGGTCAGGCTGGGAGTTCTCTGTGTCCTGCTGGCAGTGAGACTGTGGGGACATTTCCAGGCAGTGGGACCTTTATTGCCAGGCTGACTGAGGCAGATTGTATGGTTCTAGTTGATGGTGGAGTTGTAGACTGTAGATTTCCTGTTCTACATTTTTCTAGCTTCCCTTTTCTTCTCAGGTGGAGAATCCTTCTGTCCTGTTCCCAGTCAAGTTGACGTAAAGCTGCCATGACCATGATTCAGGAAGAGGAGGTCCATTCAGACACTGACCAAAGCCAGGCGACATCAGGGCAGAATTGTGGGATGATGCTGTTAGTGGCAGGTTCAGGGCTCAGGGAACCTGGAGAAGGTGGACTCTACCTGTCCAGGAGCAGCATGAAGAGGGGCAGCAGATCCTGTTAGTGCAGCTTGGTCCTCTACCCTGTCATGATGTTCCCTGAGGGCCACTGCTGCCCTCCTTCTGTGGGAATAGATCAAGGTGTCACAGCTGGGCCAGTGGGCAGGGTGTCACCCAGAGGAAGTTTCCCATGACTGTGAGACAGCACTTTGAGAAAGCTGGTTGACAGTGGTGTCAGGAGGAAGAAGGCGAGTTACGAGACAGGGACCCAGGAGCTGGCCCAGGGACAGGGCCGAGTGTGGAAGAACCTGACTTGCCCCTGGGCTACTTGTTCCAGTCACCAGTGTCCCCTGTCAGGATGAGCAACCTGGTTTCCTCCAGGGGACTTCTCCTAGTTTCCAAACTCTGAATGTAGAATGTCTGCAGCCTGGCCCTGCGTCTTCTTTGTCTTTGAGTCCACAGGTTCTCTGAAGGTGGTCTTGTCCTCTTCTGTTTATTTACTAAAGTTTTCCAAATCCTTCTCTCCCATCGAGGCTTTTCCTAAGGTTCATGGATCCTTCGGGTTCCCCATGTCCACACCTGGGCATGTGGTGGCCACCTTCGTGTTGACAGGCTGTCGTTCTGCCTCCCCATTCTGTGCTGCAGTGATTCTCTCTTTATAGAGCAGCTCCAGGACTCCTCCCACACTGAGCATGTGCAATTTGCTGATGTCAACCTCCTGCTTCCTGAGAAGCATGGAGGAAATGGAAGAAAGGCAAACCCAAGTGGCATTCAGGACGAACCAGTAGTGTTAGTACTTTTCAACCTTAGTTAGTATAAGTTTGAACTAATAGCCTTAGTCCATTTTCAAACCCTGATGAGCCTAAGTGTGAACCAATAGCGTTCACCCAAATGCTGTATAATCCCTGGACTCCCACACTCAAGGGGCAGCAGTTGTCAGGTTTCTTCTCCTTCCACTGTGGTTTGGTCTGTGCACTTGGGCAATTCCTTTCATACTCACTCCTCCTTGTCTCTGGACTTTTCCAGTTTGAATCTGTGATACAAGAATCCAGGAAGAAGAAACTGTTGTTGATCTGCTGGGGTCTGCTTTAACATTGGAGGGCCTCTCCCACCATTAAGAACTACAACACATTACTGTAGATCCCACGGGACAGAGAAACTCTCCTGCCTCAGCTGCCTGCAGAAACAGAGAATTCAGTTGTGTCTCATACTCCCGTTTTATATTTTGGTGTCTAATAAATGGGGCATCTTTTGGTGAGTGAAATGGATCAACAGACCTGTCTTTTTTTTTTAGGATTTCTGTTCTCTTTTAATTTTTTTTCTTCAAAAATATCAAGTATTTGTTAGCCTTTAGGGAAAAAAAATCTCTATCAGATATACTGGGCACTGGTTGGCCTTTTAAAAAATATCTCTATCAAAAATACCAGACCCCTGGTGACCATTTGAAAGTGCTTGGGTTTCTGGTGCATGCCTGTAATCACAATGGCCTCCCCTCAGCAATGTAATAAGGCCCTAAGGAATTCAGTGAGACCCTGTCTCAATAACAACAACAACAACAACAAAAGGGTTGTGAATATGGCTCCTTGGTTAAGCGCCCCCCACCCCAGGTTCCATCCCTCGTAAACCCCCCACCCTCTGCAAAAAAGGGTGCCCCCATATCTAAAGGCAAGGATGACAGGCTTATTGGAGGGCAGCTTGCTTACTCCCTTCCTTCCAGATGGAGGAATGTAGCTCAGGTGCTGTTTCAACCTCTGGTCTTGAGCTTCATTTCAAAACCAGAGTGTTGAAGTGAAAAACCACTCCTGGCTCTCAGCTTGGCTGTGTTCCCCCTTCCCAGGCTAACAGTTTCAGGTTGGGATGCCGAATCCTCCCGTAAGGTGGCCTTCCCCTGCCCAAAAAGAGATGTGAGGAAGGCCAGTGGCCACCTGGCTGTGGGTATAAGCAGTTGGTTTTCTACTGCTGGGAGGTGGCTCACATTCTCGTGTTGATGACACCTGGGGTATTAGAGACCTTGGAGCTGAAGTGCCCAGTGGAAGATGCCTCTTTCTTGTAGCACACCTTGAAAGGTGGCTCTCCACGGGTGTGGCCATAACTCCCCACAAAGGCTTTCTGGGTCACCTCATGACCAGCAGCCACTTGCAGCTCACAGGTGCTTTGCTGGATTTAGGAGGTCCCTGGCACCAACTGAGTTGGAAGGGTTCTTTGGGGATCACTAATAATCACCAGAGGGGTACGGGGAAGCCCCAAGATGGGAATACCCAATGGAAACCATCTAGGTTCTCAGTTTTTTTTTTTTCAAAATTAAAGGAGACTTCAGAAAGCAAGGCACAGGTAGATATTTATTGAAGGACATCCACAGAATTTACACTTGGAGTATGGGCAGCCCTTATCTCAAAAGATGAGTGAGGTTCCCAGCTTTGAGTTCTCTAATATGATTTTTTAGAGTGTGTTTGGAGCCTAAGTGGAGGTGCCATGGTTAGATTTTGCTGATTTGGAAAGTGTTAACAAGCTACCTTGAAGATTGAGTCACCCGACAGTCAGGTCCTGTGGTCACCACCACCTTATACTTGAAGGTCAGAAAGTTCCTTTGTCAAACCTTCTAACCATTCATAAAACGGTAGCATGTTGTGTAGCTTTCTTAGGTGGAGGATGTTCTAACGGACATCTGATCTTGGATAAGCATACGTTGAATGTCCTGTTCATCTTTAGCGGAAGCAGCAAGCTCAGCATGACTTGTCTTGTTTTCAGAGGTCTTCATTTTCCAAGGGCCTCGTCTCAAGGGCCTGTTTTACTTTCCTGTCTCATGATGAGGGTCTGGGTCTATGTTCCTCGGTGATGTGGGTCTTGAGGGTCAAAAAATAGGGTATGGGGCCGCTGGTAGGAAATTTGTGTTGTCAGCAAACTGGGAGTCTGAGAAATTGCTAACTGAATCTCTTTGTCATAGATGGAGGAGATGTGGGGTCAGTGACAGATGGGAAGTCTCTAGGTTCAAAATTAGGCACCTGGAGCTGGGTGCAGTGGTGCATGCCTGTAATCCCAGTGGTTTGGGAAGCTGAGACAGAAGTTCAAAGCCAACTTCAGCAAAAAGTGAGGTATTCAACAACTCAGTGAGACCTGTCTCTAAATAAAATACAAAATCTAGGGCTGGGGATGTGGCACAGTGGTTGAGTGCCCCTGAGTTCAATCCCTGGCACTCCCTCTCCAAAAAAATTAGGCACCTGGGGGACAAAGGGCCATTTGAAGTTCCTTTTGTGTTAGGTTATATTTTCACAGGTTCTGGACATTAGGATGTGCACAGCTTTGGGTGGTTCTTCAGTGTGTCAAAGCTTCTATATTCAGTGTATTGTTTTTAAGTGTTTTTTATTTATTTTTTTAGTTGTAGATGAACACAGTAGGTCTTTATTTATTTACTTTTATGTGGTGCTGAGGATCGAACCCAGTGCCTCACACTTGCTAAGCAAGTGCTCTGCCACTTAGCCACAACCCCAGCCCTTGAGTGTAATGGTTTTGATTCCTCTGCTCAGTTCATGTATGAGCATTAATTCCTTTGTATGTCTGAGTGGTATTCCAATATATGAATGAACATGAAATAGTTCATTCTGCCCTCTTCCTGATGGACACTAGGACAATTATTAGAAACATTGTTAACAGAAATTAATTCCAAATGCCTCAGATACTTTAAAACAAAAACCTTATAAAAAGTATAGGAGATGACACAGGAGAACATCCTGGTGATTTGGGGTTTGATAAGACTTTGAAGGTATAAAATAAAAAACACAGCCCATAAAAGAAAATAGTCAGATGAACTTTGTTCAAATTAAATATGACCTGCGAAATACACTCTTAAGAGGAAGACAAGCCACAGACCATGAGAAAACATTGGCATAATACATTTCTGATAAAGGGATTTTATACAAGACTTATTATAGAGACCTCTTAAAACTCAACAAGAAAACAACACAGATGATAATTGGCCAAAGTTATGAAGAAAAATTTTACCAAAGTTGATGGTAAACAGATAGCAAAAGAGCCTAAGAAAAGATGCTCATCATATGTCATTAGGGACAAGAACTTCTCATCTAGAAAGTCTTGCAGTATGGTCCAAAAGGGCAACTTGACCCTGTATAGCATTATTTAAAAAATGTCCACTTCCAACCATAGCATGGCCTAGAGCATCTGAAAGGACTGAACCATCATTTGGCATCTGGACTAATGATCTGCTATTGGCTGCGTCTCCTCCCCTGCACTTGGTCTTCAGCTGGGTGCAGTTGGAGCAGCTGGTGTCGCACAAAGCTGTCCCCGCAGGTGCAGAGAGCAGCATCTGGAGCAGAGCCATTCTCCCAGTTGGAAAAGGCGTCAGGAGTCCTGAGAAGGGCCCCTGTCCATCAATGTGTCCTGCTACATGTCCATCTCTCCACCCGTCACCTTAGATCTGCCAAACCTCTATCATCCCTCAGTTCCAATACAGTCCTTCTATGTGTACCCAACATTCCCAGGACCACCCACCACACCTTCATCTGCTCCTGTACTCTGTCACCTGTGTCTTCCTTTTTCTTTTCCCGTATCTACTCCCAGATCCAACATTTCATACCATTCCTTGAACCCTTCTGCCCAACACCCTGAAGCCCCACAGCAGCGCTCAACTTTCAGGCATCATCAGCTTCTCCATGAACTGCATGCAAGCCCTTGACCCATTATCCACCAGGCTCTACAGGTGGTTTGTTTTTTTCTCTCTGTGGGCTTTATTCCACTTATACCTATGGTATTCCCCAACTCCTACACTTTCCTGTGTACATCTTTTCTTCTCCCCATGTCTGTCTGTTCCCCAGGCTGCATCTCCTTTACTTGCTTTCTGTATCTTTCTTGATCTAGTGTTACCCAAGTTCTGCCTCCTCTGCTTGTATCCTCCTCTCCCCACAGCATGCGTTTACCACGTTTTCCACAAAACCTCTTCCTTCTTTTGACCTTTAACACTGCATTACTATGTTCCCCTTTGTTCCTATGACACCCTGAAATCCCTATCCTTCTAGAACCAAATGTGTTTATACCCTTAACTTCATTGCACATAATCTCCCCTTGTCATCTTGACCCTGGCATTGACTTTATCCCCCAATATATATTCTGGTTTACCTTTTATCTCTCTGCATGTTCTTTTCATGTCCCCTGCTTCAGGCTCTGCACCACCATCTGTGCCCTTGATCACTTTTCCCCTGTGCCCTATTCTGTCACGTGTCCTGCAAACAAGGTCACTCTCTATACGCTTCAGCACTGAACAATTGCTGCTGGCAGTTGTTGACAAATTCCCACGAGTTGGAGTTCATACAGAGACCAAGTTCTGAGTCAGGTCAAATTATGAGAAATGAGTATCAGCAAGCTGTCAGACAGGTGAAAGGGTGAAAATTCTCTGTGAGTATGTTTTTCAGGGCGCAGCAGGGCCATTTCTGAACCCCCCAGCCTCTGCTAGGGTGCTGATTTTCACTGTGCTGTAGCTGCACAGCAGTTGCCTTCAGGGCAGCCTTGAGCTGAGGAGGTGAGAGTGGATTAAGCTAAAATGACAGAAGTCACTCTTGAGCCTGCTCGTGTGGACTTATGGAGCTCTCTAGAAAGGAAACTACATTGCTTCTAGCTGACTAGGTCAAGGATGGCATAAGGCATGCAGTGCTCCATCACCGTCTCAGTTACAGGAGGTCAACCTCCAGTTAAATGGAGAGTCCCAGAGACCAGAGCACTTTCCCCTCACTTTCCTTAAAATGTATTCTTGAAACTGTTCCACTTCTTTACAAGTTACTGTGATTAATATCTTTCTACCCCTAAACGATAACCTGATCCTTATCATAGGTATGTGTACATGTATAGTAAAACAGTTTCAGTAGTAAATGTGGATTCAGGAACCCATCAGGGATCTTGGACTGCATTCCCTTGCGTAAGGAAGGGGTAGTGCATGACAGTCTCCACCGTCCAGTGCAGTAGAACCCAACCTGAAGGGCAGTTCCTCCTACCTGCTCTTCTCCAGCTACTCATTATTTCATCTCCACTCTCTAACAAAAAAATGTATACGTTGGGGGAAAAAAAAACCCCTGTTCCACATGTGTCTCAGCTACTTTCTGATTCTAATTTCTCTCCTTGAAGATCCCACTCTTACCCTATCATTTTGATAGTTTTAAAGTGCTTAAGATTTCTTTGGAATTTATGCTAATACTTAAGTTGTTCATTCTACCGGTATCTCTTCTATCCTCAACTCAGCCTTTCTAATAAAATTTAAAATTAGGTGTTCTTAAATAAGCCATGACAAAAAATTGTAGATTTCTCAAATGTTCCCCATAGAACTCACATTCACAGACATACATGGTCTCATGTGGCATTCTAGATGATATAACTTGGGTGATGAGAATAGACTGACCAGGGCAATCAAGCAAAAAGAAATTTATATCCATGTATAATAATGAGTTTTACCTCCAAAGACTCTATACAAATCTGTGCCTATTAGGACTCTCATATCTCCTGCTTCCCACCTGTTGTTCCTACTCTGATCTTTTCCATATCCCCACTGTCACCAAAAACTTACATTCTACTGAACATAGTCTACAGTCTACTGAAACATGGATCATTTGGTCTTCCTATTTACAACCTAGCCTAACTGCATAAGCTAGCCTAACTAACTCCATATCCACCAACCAAGAGGGGAAGTAAGGGCCATATAAACATTAAATAGGGAGGAGAGTGTGGAAAGTCACAAAGGTGCCCACCAGGCAACGATTCTCTGGGTGGCTCTGGACTCAGGGAAGGTTCTGGGAGGAACTTTGATGCTGTGAATGTGCTGAATCCTCTTCTTGTGTCTGTAAGAATAAGAATTATGGAGCCACTGGACCAGATATGAGCAAAGAAAAGGCAACTTCAGTAATACAAATAAATGTTGCATATAACAAGTCTGTGATTTTGTCACGACTTACAATAGAACAGTACCCATAATCTGTTTTCTCTTTGTGACTTCACTGTTGCATTTTCCAAGCACATAGGAGGGAAAATGAAATTTATCATCATATAAAGGATCCAGCAGAGGGAAATGGAGAAGCCAATGTGCTTTGGAGCTATTAATTTAAGAGCCCTCCCACAGGAGGCTTAATGGGGCTGGATCATGATGCTCTGGAAGACACTCAAGAAGCAGGTGATGCCAATGGATACATTCCTGCCCACTCATTGAATATATGAAATAATTTTGCATCAAAGGTGATTTAAAAAAGTGTTCCATCACAGAAGCTGCCATTACCAGGGAAATTCCATTAGAGAGAATGAGGAGGGGGCTGGCTATATTCAGGACTTGAGGCTCAAATTAGTGGGCCTTAATGGATGCCCACTATAGGAAAGGAGTAGGTAGTAGTAAAGAAGATAGAATTTCCCAGAATCCCAAGTGTAATCTGTGGTGAGAGCATCAGTCTTATGACCACATCTCTGGAGGCCATCCTGTCATTTAGCACAGTTTTGTTTGGATTATGGCAACAGCCATCCCTATGACCAGAATGCCTCATTAAAATGATTTTTATCCAGAGACTGGGTGCACTTGTACTCACCAACTACTTGGGATGCCGAGGCAGGAGAAATACTTGAGCTAGGAGTTTGAAGCCATCCTGGGCAACACAGCAAGAGCAATCTCCAAATTACCCCAGGAGTCACTTTTTTATTGTAGGCACCTGTGGACTGGCAAAAATATGAAGATGCACAAGTGGATGGGCAGAATTCCCACACTATTTTCTTAGAGAAGTCATCATTAAAGATCAGGTGGTGATACCCTGGGAGAAGCCATGAAAAGTGAGAGCAGTTGTCAGAATGCATAAAGCAACATTCTTAGAACAAACGGATATGTCCTGGTCATGTTGAAGAAGAGGCAACATCAGTCACCACCCACACCATACAACAATTCAGTTCCAAGTGGATTTTTGGTGTAATTTAAAAGAAAATAAATGGAAGTTTCACAACAATAAAAGACTATTTCTGAACTACTAGGCAACAATTTGTGTATCAAAGAGGAGAAACACCTTAAAAATCCGATTGAAATGACAAATCAGATCAAGTTAAATGAAAAGCTTCCTCCTACCAATTGCCGTACTTACACACAGGGTGTGTGCAAAAGAGATTGAAGCATCCATTGGGAATAAGTTTTACAGAATGTACTATGAATAAAATAGGCAGTATGTTCCAGAAAAATTACAGGGAAAAAACTATTAAGTAAATAATAAAAATGGGGGAAAATTTTAGTCTAATGAGACCTTTTATATTTGGTGTAAGGCTTAATCAGCTCCCCACCAACTGCTGCACTGTCTTCTCCCCATGCCCTTTCCCTGTGCCATCTTTCTCTTGCCTTCTCCTCACAGCTGTGAAGGGTCACTGCCCTGAACACTCCCCTGTCCTAGGACAGGTCTTGACCTGAACGGGAAAGCTCACAGCAATTTTTAAAACTCTTCATTGTAAATAGTATTTTTTCAGTGTTGGGGGAATTGAACGTATTGGAAAGGCCTTCCTTTTTTAAAAAAATATTTTTAGTTATAGATGGACACAATACCTATTCATTTATTTATTTTTATGCAGTGCTGAGGATCGAACCCAGGGCCTCACACATGCTGGGCAAACACTCTACCACTGAGCCCCAGCCCCAGCCCCAAGGCCTCTCTTTTTGTGGTCACTATCTGATGCCCTGCAAATAGTGTCCATAGCACAGGTGAATCTGGTAGTTACAGCAGGGGTAGATCTGGCCTCTCAAATCATCCAAAGCTGCTACTGTCATTTGTGAGGTACCAGCTTTCTGTATTTCTTATAGAAATCTCTTCTGTCATTAACGGGATCAATATCAGTAAAGTGTATTTCCCTAATAATTTTGATGTCAATTGGCATTAAGTCATGGAAACGAGTGGCCATGAATGGGCTTGTACTTGTGTTCAGAGGAGTGGAATGACCTTCAGAGTTCATTGTTAGCTTCACATTCTTCTTCTTTTCACATGTGTGTGTGTGTGTGTGTGTGTGTGTGTGTGTATGTGTATGTTTAAATCCTTCTCAGGTGTTTTGTTTCATTCCATTTCTTTACCAATAGGCAAAATGATGGAAATGGAATAGGAAGCAACTAGGTTTGGAAAACAATGCAGTGGGGCTGCCAGTCCCTCACATGTCAGACCACGGTATTTGCTCTTCCTTGGCATGTGACTGTGTGACTCCAGGGATTATTGATAAACAGTAGCACCTCCCAACACTCCAGGATCCATTAGAGATGCCAACAAGAAACTTATAATTGTTTTTCATAAGTGTCACCTGGGGAGAGAGTTTCCAGCAGTGTCCTTAGCTCCCCGAGCCTGCATGCCCATTGATGCTACAGGCACAGTGATAATTGCAGGTCTGGGGGGAGGTGAGGTCACAGAGTCACAGACACATATCTCAGGAGCTGGCCACCTCCCTGAAAGCACACGTCTTGGTCACAGAGGCCTCTGCACTGAGCTCACCGTCCTGGCAGAGAGAAAGATCCTGGTGAGTCATCAAATGACAACCCGAGAGCATCATCTGCGAGGGAAGACCCACTTCAAGGTCCCATTTCAAGAGTCTGGGTAAGTGATCTCATCAGAAAAGGGGATTCTATATTGAACCTGGTTGAATACCAGAGCCACACAGGAAGCAGGAAAAATTTCTCAGGAGTGGGCTCAGGCACTGAAGAGCGATGGGGTCCTGGATCCCGCCGCCATCCCTGATGGCTCCCAGTTGAATGGAAAGTGATCCTGGCTGACAGTGGCTGCTGAACTACACTACCCCAATCTTCAAGGTGTAGGAGGGTGTCGACTGCAAGTCTGCCAGCAGCTCAGTGTCCCTTACAGGAATTGTGTGCTGAGTTTTCTGGATTTCTAGAATAGAGCCTACAATATCTGCAAGATTCTTGTATAGAGTAGGAAGAACTTATAGGACTCTTCTCGTATTGTGTCCTATAGGGTGAAGCTCGAGTGGAAACTTTCCTCTCACTCTGGGCATAGTGCAGCTCATGGACACAATCACGGGGTCAATCCTGAAACCACTTGTTGTCCAGGAATGTTTGAGGTTATTTCCCCCTTAAAATGATAAAACGTTTATAAAGAAAATGTACTAATAGTTTTGGGGTTGTGGCTCAGAGGTAGAGTGCTTGCCTAGCATGCATGGGGCACTGGGTTCTGTCCTCAACACCACATAAAATAAAGATATTTTGTCCACCTAAACTAAAAAGTAAATATAAAAATGTAATATAATAATGATGGGTTTCCAATACCACCTTTTATACATATATCTGGTTTCTACCTGTTTAAAAACATCCTCCTTATTGTATTAAATACACCGCCTGGCTTAGGAATTTTATTGTGGAGTAGGGTTTGAGTGTGTAGAAATTGTGATAAACTTATTTACCTTCTGCTCAATTTTTTTTATCAGCCTAAAACTGCTCTAAAGATGAAGGTCTGCTGAATGTATAGATTTTCATGATAGTCACCAATCTGCCATCTCAAGACTTCATGCTGTTCATATGCCAGTGTGGATACGTGGCTCCTGTTGTAATATCAGTCACCCACATTGATGTCTTGCTAACAGTTTTACTGAACTCAGGTATTAACACATTTAGCGTGTGTCCCCCAAAAGCAGCAATTATGCCGCTACTACCATACAGTGTTGGTGCTTTAAGTCACAAAGCATAGGACGTGGCATGGAGAAACAATTCCTGTGACAGGTGCTGTTTCACTTGCATTCCTAACAAACAGCCAAGTGAGCCCTGTGGTAGCTGTTCTGAAATGGACCAGGACTGGCTCCCTGCACATAACTCGCCATGGGACAGGTGCCTGCTGGATTATAGCTCCCTCAGAGCTTCTGCTTCAATAAAATATCTAGATAGTCTCTCATAATTGAGATTGGCTTGGAGAATAATTGTCTAAGGAAATGGAAACTCATTAGAATAAAAGCTTAAAATACCATCAGTTTAGAAGATGATAGGAATTTCAAAAAACAGAACTAAACACACACACAAAAACTGGATAGTTTGAAAACCCCCACTCACCCATGTTCAGAACGCTTGGTAGTTAACCATACTGACTTTTATACTCAGCTAGTCTCAAGTCCCCTCTACTCCCCTAATCAGAGCATGAATTTACACGTTTACCTTCTGCATGACCAAGTTCTTCTGGTCATTATGCAAAGTCGCCTCTGCACCTGCCTCAAGTTGTGAAGATGCAAGTGGTAGCAAAGTGATGTTTTCAGGGCAAAGTTTTATGCTTTTAAAAGTTTACGCATAAAACTTTTAAAGAAAAAAAAGATTCAATATTCACAGTAAAGAAAAAAAATCATTCAATATTCACAGTGGGCGTCTGGGGGGTGGGCAATGCTGGGTTTTGGTTGACAGGACCCATGCAGCCCGGGCTTTCTGTTCCCCTGCAGGACCCTCTTGAAGGGACAGCAGGGACCTGGCAGGATGGCAGCCAGTGATGTGGCTGTAGGCATCATCTTCCTGGCACAGACTGTGGTTGGAGCTCTGGGCAATTCCTCTCTCCTCCATTACCTGGTCCTTTACTTCACTGGGTGCAGGGTAAGACACACAGACTTGATTCTTCAGCACTTGGTTGTGGCCAACTTGTTAACCCTCCTGTCTAGAGGAGTTCCCCAGACAGTGGCAGCTTTCAATTTAGAAATCTCCCTTGGTGATTTTGGATGCAAACTATTGTTCTATCTTCATAGGGTGGGCAGGGCCATGTCCATTGTAACCATGTGCCTTCTGAGTGTCTTCCAGGCCATCACCATAAGCCCCAATGAATCCAGGTGGGCAGGACTTAAAGTGAAAATTCCCAAGTACGTTGGCTTTTCCATGTACCTGAGTTGGATCATGTACCTGCTTATTAATATTTTTAATCTTCTTAATGTGACTGGGAAATGGAACAACACAACAAGGACAGACCTGAGAGATTTTGGATACTGTTCTGGTGTTCGTCCTGACTTAACCACAGGCTTACTGTTTGCAGCATTGCTAACCTTCCCTGATGTCCTGTGTGTGGGGATCATGCTCTGGGCCAGCAGCTCCATGGTGCTCATCCTGCACAGGCACAAGCAGAGAATGCAGCACATTCACAAGACCAGCTCCCTCAGGTCCTCCCCTGAGTCCAGAGCCACCAAAACCATCCTCCTCCTGGTGAGCACCTTTGTCTCCTTTTACACACTTTCCTGTGTCTTTCAGAGTTGTGTGACTGTTATTAATAATCCCCACTGGCTCCTGGTGAACACAGCTGCAATAGTCTCTGGGTGTTTCCCAGCTGTCAGCCCCTTCTTGCTCATGAGTCAAGACTCCAGTGCATCCAGACTTTCTTTTGCCTGGAAACAGAATAGTAAACCTCCTATTCTTATGATGAACATAAAAATTTTAAGTTTTTGCACAACACTTATTTATTTATTCATTTGAATCCATAAAATTTGAGGCCTAACTATACACATGGGAGTGGTGATTTTCACACATGCACTCTCCTTACATCCTGTTTTTTTTTGATTGGTGTAAATGTGTGGATAATAAGGGGAACTTCATGCTATGATGACTTCTCCTGGCAACTTGGATGCTCACATCTCTAGGAGTGAAGTAGAAAACTCAAGTCTCCAGCATAGAGGATGAAGATATTGACCTGCAGTTTAAGAAAAGCCCTGCTGAGTCTCGCAAGGCACTGCTCTTCCTCTGTGCTGTTCTTTGGTGCCTTCCATTATCAGGGGCTGCCTCCTTCCATTAGGCTGCATCACCACAAGTGGAATTCCAGTCTTTGCCTGTCCTAAGCCTTGGCACTCTGGTGTTCCAGTCAGGACTTCGCCATCTGCACATTACTGTGCATGCAAACTGGTTTGTTCCTGTGCTGACATTCCAGACAGCAATCACTAGCACCCACCTCAGCTCTGAGAAGGGTCACTGAGTGACTGCATCCAGCTATAGGACATGGAGCAGAAAATATGGCTGGGGACTGAAGAATTCTTCTGATTGCAGATATTTGACAAAACAGTGGTCAAATTTCCTCATCTATCCCCAAAATGTTCACTGTTATGCCAAGTTAGTTTATTAGACATGCTCTGTTCTTACCTCCTTTTAAAGGAAAAGTTTAACAAACTTTTTTTCATGTGATTATGTATCATGGAGGAATAATGGTCTTAATTTTATGGAAAGTAGGAGGTTATCCTGCAGCGGGAAAGTGTCACCACTCCACTCTCTTTTAAAAGAGTAAGCATTTCTTTTTAAAAGAGTAAGCATTTCTTTTAAATAGTTTTCATTGTCAATTTGTCCTTGGAGTCAATGGAAGAATGCAGAATGTCTAATTTCTTACTACTAAGCAATTCATATAAAATATCTAAGTATCTTCTTCCCCACATATATTTGTACCTTCATGTCCTGGTAGAAGACCTTGATGATTCAAATACTGGTATGAGCCCATTGCAATATTTACACCTGCTTTCTGATTGAAAGCACATGAGAATTTTTCAAGCCACAGAGTCATTTGCAAAATTTGAACAGTTTATTTCATAACCAATCTTTGACCAGCTCTGATGTAAGTGTACAATAGGTTGGCCTGTTCTATGGCTTGAACATGATTCATGCCCCAAATCTGCTATGCTAATGCAGAGATACTCAGGGGTGAAGTGATTGCATTGTGAGGGGTATAACTTGATCAGCGTACCCCAGTTTGAATGGACTGACTGGGTGGTAACTGTAGGCAGGGGTGTTGTGGTTGGGGGAGGCAGGTCACTGGAGACATGCACTGGAAGCGGGTATCTTCCCTGTAGCTCCTTACCACCTTTCCAGTCTCTCTGCTTCCTGGATGCCACAAGGGGAGCAGATTCCCTCCACCATGCCATCTCTTCATGATAGTCTGCATCACCTTGGGCCCAGAGCAATAGAGTGAGTCTTCCATGCACTGAGATCTCTGGTACCATGAGCACAAATGATCTTTTCCTCCTCTAGGTAGTTCTTGTTGGGTGTCTTGTTCACAGAAATGAAAAGCTGACTCAAGCAGCATGTATATAATTTGGGTCACTTTGTTCTTTGCATAGCAAGAGGTTCTGTATTATCATCCCTTTAAGGACTGGACTTTTGGTTGTTCCCTAATAAGGAATGAGGGCACGTGGTTACTATTCAGAGTTTATAGCCCTATTGGTAGCCCTGAGTACTATAATGTCATTCTGTTGAATATCTCAAGACTTGGCTTGACCTGGATCTCTGGTTCTGGTTTCCTAGATTGCAAAAAGAGATATATATACAAAAGAAATTAAAATGCCAAATCCATTAAAGAAATCAAAATACCAAATAATCTTTATATTTTAAATGTGTAAATGTATATGTATATATGTTATATTATATATATGCATATATATACACATATATATAATGTAAATATACAGTATGTGCATATATATCACTTGAATTAGGTTTATTATGCACTAAACAATAATTTTAGAAAATTGTAACAAATAGAAATTTCAGATTTAGATGACAGTTTCAACAATGGCAAATGATTTAGCATAAAATTTGCTTTCTGTTGCTTTTTCTTCCTAATCTTGTTGGTTTATTTGTAAAATTATGTGAAATGTATTTTTATGTATATTCTCTTTTCTCTGATGCTTCTGTGTTAGCTATTTCTTTTGAAGGGAATATCAGTATTTGTATATTCAGACACTATTTGCCTTTGAAAAATAAAACTTATATGTTTCATATAATTGAATGTAATGGAAAACCATGAACAACAAATTTTCTCATTATGACACCCATTCTATTTAAGTTTCTAAGTTGATTTCTGTTGTTATTTCCAAGACGCTACATTTCATATTTTCAAAAACTGACCAGAGTGTGCACTTATTTAATACATTCACTGTCCACCTTGGCATTATGTAAATGGGATAAGAATCTTTTGCTGCAGCTGATTTTTAAATTACTGAAATGTATTTTAAATGATTTTATGTACAGGCTAGGCATGTGATGTCAGTGAACTTTCACAAATGGAGCCCATTCCCCTATATGCAGCTCTTATATAGGAAGACAACACCTCAGTCTGAGATGCTCTCTCAGAGCATCCCCAAGAGTGATGACTACATGACAGCCCAGGTCACTTTCACCTCTCTCCTACTTTATACAAATGAGAGTTCAAAATGAACTCTTTTATATTTGATGGTACAAAATCCAGGCGCTCTCAAATTAGCATTTTTCAATGTGGTAGGGGGTGGGATTCAACCATAGGAGTAGCAAATAATTAAGCATTCTTATTTTTAAGGAACATTTTCATATTTTTTCTTTGTACTTTACTGGTGTCCATACTACTGGAGTTCATTGATGTAATTATAGAAGCAAAGATATAATTTGCTCAGTTCAGTCCACAGGACTTCTCCTTTCCCTCCCTTGTACATCCCCCTCTTCCTTTTTCTCTACTCCACTAGTCTTCCTTCTATTTATTTAGAGTCTTTCTAAAATCAGTGCTTTATGGATATACATACAGGTGAGATTCACTGTGGCATACATGCAAATGCATAAAATATTTTGGTCAATCTCATTCCATGGTTGCACCCTTTTCCAGGCCCTCCTCCTTCACCCTCAATCCCTACCTCTATCTACTCCACTGATCTCTCCTTTACTTTCATGGGACCCCTCACCCCATTTTTTTTTCTGAGTTTTGTTCTAGTTTTTCCATATGAGAGAGAGAGAGCAATTGTCCTTTGACCTTGTGAGTCAGCTTATTTCAATTAGCATAATGTCTGCCACTACCTTCTCTTTTTGAGCAAACACCATTCCATTCTTTTTTATGGCTGAACAGAACTCCATTGTGTGTATAAACCACATTTTCTTTATTGAGTTACCTATTGACAAGCATCTGGGCTATTAAGCATTGACAAGGCAGTGTCTACATAGTATGATAATTTTTGTTTGCTTGGATAAATAGAGATAGTGGAATCATATGGTTGTTCCATTCCTAGTTTTTTTTTTTTAATTTTTGTAGTTGTAGGTAGACAGAATGTCTTTATTTTAGTTGTTTATTTTTATGTGGTGCTAAGGGTGGAACCTAGTGTCTTACACATGCTAGGCAAGTGCTCTGCCTCTGAGCTACAGCCTCAGCCTCCCATTCCTAGTTTTGGGATGAATCTCCATCCTTCTTTCTAGAGTGATCACACTAATTTGCAGTCCCATGAACAATGTACAAGGATAACTTTTCTCCCACATCCTCAGCAGCATGTATTTTTATTTATATTCTTGAAAATTGTGTTCTGACTGGAGTGAGTTAAAATCTTAGACATAGACTGCACTGTCACAGCTGTGTGATGTAATGATTCTCCAGGAATTGTCTAGAGTACACTGAAAGCTTAAACCTCCAGAACACAGCTTGAATGGAAAATTCAAATTAATTGCAGACCTTTCTGGATCTTGGCACAACATCATTCACCCATCCCCACCCCACCCCCAGGGCATCAGCCATGTGTATGGGCTCCTGCCACAGCCCGCCCTCCCCTTGCAGAAGGCAGGCTGGGCTATGGGAACCCTGTCTGTCCACTAGGGACCTGTGCTCTCACTGCTGGTTGCCCAGTTATCTTTGTAGCTGCTGACACAGAGGCAGGCAACCAAGGTCACACCCTTCCAAGGCATTAAAAGACACTTCCTGTTTGCCCCTGAAATTCAAATGGCCACTGTGTCTCTGTTTGTCTTTCTCTCTTTCTCAACTATTTTGTTTTCTGATTCTTCATTTTTGCAGGCAGCCATTTAAGATCTAGGACACTGTGGAGAATTCGCATATACCATGGAATTTAGAACATCATTATACAGGCACAGAGCAAGGCGCCGTCCCAAATGAGACCTGAAAAGACCTTTTGTTCACAGATCAGGTTGACCCTCATCTGTTAAAATATGGACTACAATTAAAAAAAGACAACAAAAACCAAGTTTCTGTAAAAGAAGAAAATATGATCTCCAGATCTAGCACACTATTTTTATATGTTTATTTTTTGCTCATTTCTGCATCTCTGTCTTTATCCAATATACTATGTATTTATGTCCGTCTCTGTGTGTCTCTCTTTGTATACAATCACGTGTCTTTTGAAGAAATTAAACCTTAATTTTAATAAAATATAATTTCTCATTTTACCCATAATGTGTGTTTTGTATAAAATATTTTCTTATTTTTAGAACACTGAATTTGTCTTTTCTGAAACTATTCATGTTTTCTTAATTATTTGCTTTGTAAATTCACTTGGAGGTGATATTTTTATGAGCAAAAATTGAAGTTTCACTGTTTCACTGTGGCTGAGATAAACTTCAGGTTTATCTCATTTTTCTTTCCCCCTCCAAATCTTACTATTTTAACATCCTGTATTTTTCTAAATACATATGTACTCTAGTGTCTTCCCACGAACTTGTCTACCCTAAATTACTTCCTGTCTATTCTCCTGCTACTGACCCTCTTCATTAGATTTCTCTTTCACATTTCCTAAGATGTATTAAGTCTGTTTTCTCACATCGTTCCTCCTCAGCATATTGTCCCTCGCCCCACCCTCAGTTCATTGTCCACCGTCAGAAACTAGATCTTTTTCCAAAACTAGTGATTACATTTTAGATAATATTTGAATCCAACATCTCTGTACATTGAGACTAAACTGTAAACGTCTTAATACAACAAATTGTGCATAGGTGTTATACTGTTGATATTGGGATCTGTTAAAATTGTCCTTCCCCACAAAGGAGGGATCTTAGAACCCTACAAGAGCACTACAAACCTATAAGGCAAAAACAGTGACACCCCAGACCCACAGGTCTGGAAAGGAAGACACATGAGCAACATGAAAAGACAAGGGAAGAGAGTGCCCCAATCCAGGCTGATTTAATTTCATTGTTTCTCCATTTGTGTTAACACCACATCCAGACAGAGCCCATGGAGAGAGTGTCCTGTGACTGCAGGGCTCCGTCCCTTCTAGAGAAAGGATGGGAATATGGTGTTATATCCAACATCCCAAACTCCTCCTCCCCTGAGTCAACTTCTTTAGATAAATATGACAACAGACTCCACCAAGGTCCAAATTCTTGGATTAGTACTCCTGAGGCCATTCCATTCTTTTCATGAAAAAAGAGGTTGAGGTGTTTACATCAGAAAGTCTCAGGGCTGGAGCCTCAGAGAGTTTGGCCTTGATTATCTGAAAGACCACCTCCTGGCTTGGTTCCTACTCATGGGGGGGGCTTTTTCTCTCCTTTAAAGGTCTCAGACCTGGGTCTAGCCAAGTCTGAGAATCCAGGGATAGATATTCTGCAGAACCCTGCTGTTCCTAGGAATTCTCGGACTTTTCAATTTGAGGTGGGGGTAGGGAGGGCACAGACTGCATGTTTTCTCTCAGTTCCCACCGTTCACCATTTCTGCATGATGTTAAAACCTAAGTGTTTAACCTATCTCTAATAGATCTGTGCCTTTGTCTTTGCTATCATTTTGCCTTTGTTCCTTGTAGGCACTGAGCCTGTGTTTAGCTGGCTAGCAGAAGGTCATCAACACATTGTAACAAGACCCAGTTTATTTCTTGTCTTGGGAACACTGCTAAGTCAGCAGCTGAGGCTCCACTGAAGAGTGAGGGGAGTTTTTGAACCCTTGGGGGAGTCTTGGCTGAGTGAACTGTTCTGTCTGGCTGACTGAACTGTTCTGTCCTGGTGTGTGGATTTTCCCATTTGAACTCAAACATCTATTGGCTGACAGGTGCCACCTAGAGGCAGAAAAAGGCATCTTTTAAGTCCAGGCAAGTAAACCATTCAGAAGTGGAGGGGATTAGCTCAATCAAGGTGTTTGGATTAGGTACTGCTACGTGTATTGTGACTCTTGCCTCATTTATGACTCTTAAGTCCTGCTGGATGGTATTCATGGGTCCCTGGTTTCTTTAAAGGCAACAGTGGAGTATTCCAGGGTAACTGACATTTTATTAAAAGTCTGTGTTGAAGCAGTATGTCTAATGATCCTGGATTCCCACTTGGGCCCCTTGGGAATGGAGTTCTGTCATAATTTCACAGGCTGAGCCTCCTGTTTAAAATCAATAATGGGAGCATGATGTTTGGCTAGATAGGGGGGTTCCCTTTAGCTCATAATAGTGAGTATTTAACATCTAATTCAGTAAGAATGATCTTCTCCTTGGGAACGGAGCAGTATAGGCACCATTTTTCTTTTCTACTCATAGCAAGAGTAGTTCTGCTAATTAAAGCTGGGCAGGTCCATTGGCAGAGAAGGAAATTTGGGCCCCCATTTTGGCAAGCAGATCTCTTTCCGTCAAGGGGATGCGCAGTCTGGTAGGTAAAACAATTCAAACATTTCATAGCCTCCTAACTGATATTGCTGGGGACCACAAGGGGCCTATGGGTCTGGGCACCTGTGGCCCCAATGATTGTGTTTCCTTCCCTGAGAAGGGGACTACTTGTTGGGTGACTATGGAATGTTCATTGTCTTTGTCTACCATGAAGTTCATTTGTTGACCCCCTACTCTAATTCTGATCATAGGCTCTCAGAGGCCTAATTGGAGAAAGCTCAGTCCCCCCTAGTTGGATTTTTCTCCCTGCTAGGCCAATGAAGTTGGTGCTGGGTGTCTCAGGTTGATATCAGCCTTGTGAGCCAACCGTTTCTCAGGGAGCCTAGGGCATTCATTTTTCTAGTGACCCTTTCTTTGCAATATGCATGTTGATAGTGACCAAGGGGGTTCCTTTTTGCTTTGTGGGACCCCTTGACTGATGGGGTGGTCCTGCTGGGGGTGCAGATCTTGTTGGGGCCAGCTATTTGGTCATGATTAACAAGAATTTTGTTTGCTACTTCTAGCAGCTCTGTGGCATTTCTCCCTGTGAACTCCTCTAACTTTAGTGATTTCTTCTGGAAGTCTGGCTGAGCTTGCCCCAAAAAGTCTGCATTACTATTCATCCATCAGGGAATATGCTCTCTTCTCAGCAGCACATGACTTCTTCTCAAAAATAGACCATATCTTATGCCACAAAACAACTCAGTAAATTAAAAAAAAAAACACAGAAATAATGCTCTGCATTCCATCAGATCACAATAGAATGAAATTAGAAACCAATGATAAAATTAAAGATAGAAGCTACTCTAACAAATGGAGAGTAAATAATATACTATTCAATGATGAATGGATAGTAAAAGAAATCAAGGATGAAATAAAAAAATTCTTAGAGGTGAATTAGAACTGGTATAACATATCCAAATCTCTGGGACACTATGAAGGCAGTACTAACAGGAAAGCTTATTCATTGAATACATTCATTAAAAGAATAAAAAGTCAAAAACTAACTGACCTAACATTACATCTAAAAGTCCTAGAAAAAGAACAAATCAACACCAAAAGCAGTAGAAGACAGGAAATAGTTAACCACAGCTGAAATCGGTGAAATTGAAACAAAAGAAACAAAAATATTGACAAAACAAAAAAAATTGATTCTTTGAAAAAATAAATAAAATAAACCTCTAGACATGCTAATGAAGAGAAAAAGGAAGAAAACTCAAATTACTAAATTATGAGATGAAGAAGGAAATATCACAATGGACATGTTTGAAATACAGAAGATAATTAGAAAGTATTTTGAAAATTTATACTTCAATAAAATAGAAAATGTCAAAGACATTGATAAATTTGTAGAGACAAAAGACTTACCCAAACTGAATGAGGAGGTCATACATTATTTAAACAGATCAATTTCAAGTAATGAAATAGAAATAGAAAACACAATCAAAAGCCTATCAACCAAGGAAATCCCAGGACCTGATGGATTCTCAGTTGAGTTTTTCAAGACTTTCAAATAAAAATTGACACCAATACTCCTCAAAGTATTCCATGAAGTAGAAAAGGAGGTAACCCTTCTAAACTCATTCTATGAGGCTAAGATCACCCTGATATCAAAAGAAGACAAAGACATATCAAGGAAAGAAAACTTCAGACCAATATTTTTGATGAACTTAGATGTAAAAATTCTCAATAAAATTCTAGCAAATAGCATAAAAAACATATGAAGAAGATAGTGCACCATGATTGAGTGGGGTTCATCTCAGGGATGCAGAGTTGGTTCAACATATGGAAATCAATAAACATAATTAATCATATTAGTAGACTTAAAAACAAGAACCAGATGATCATCTCAATAGATGCAGAAAAAGCATTTGACAAAATACAGCACCCCTTCATGTTCAAAACACTAGAAAAAGTAGGGATAGTAGGAACATACTCAACATTATAAAAGCTATGTTAAGCCCAAGGCCAGCATCATTATAAATGGAGAAAAATTGAAAGCATTTCCTCTAAGAACTGGAACAAGAAAAGGCTGTCCTCTTTCACCACTTCTATTCAACATCATCCTTAACCCTAGCCAGAGCAATTAGACAGAAGGAAGAAATTAAAGGGATACAAATAGGTAAAGAAGAATTCAGACTATCACTATTTGCTGATGACATGATTCTCTACCTAGAAGATCCAAAAAATCTATATAACTAGTAAATGAATTCAGCAAAGTAGAAGGATATAAAATCAACACCCACAAATCAAATGCATTCCTATATATCAGCGATGAATCCACTAAAGAAAAATGAGAAAAACTACCCCATCACAATAGCCTAAAAAAAATCTGAGATTTTGTTACCTTTGTTAGAGACAAAAGACCTACCCAAACTGAAGGAGGAGGTCTAATAAAATAAGTCTAATAAAATCTAACAAAAGAGGTGAAAGACAGCTACAATAAAAACTATAGAACATGAAAGAAAAAAAATTGAAGAAAACCTTAGAATATGGAATGATTCCCCATGCCCATGGATAGGCAGAATTAATATTGTCAAAATGTCCATACTACTAAAAGCATTATACAGATTTAATGCAATTTCTATTAAAGTCCCAATGAAATTCTTCATAGAAATAGAAAAAGCAATCATAATTATTTGGGAAAAAATAAGAGACCCAGAATAGTCAAAGCAATCCTTAGCAAGAAAAGGGAAGCAGGAGGCATCACAATACTAGACCTTAAACTATACTATATAGGTATAATGACAAAAAGGGCATGGTATTGGCA